TTACTATACTATTATTTACGGCTTTAAGACACAAATAAAAATCCATGAAACTGCATTTCGTTGATTTTTTTATCGTCTAATAATTTAATGAAGCACTATATAAATATATATAACCGRTGTGCATATTAAATATTTACATCTAATAAACTCTTAATTAATTTATAGCTCAAAAACATGTGCTGACAGTTTTAGTATCATTATTGTCAGGCAGCGCTGATCTCAAGGTTTTAATTGATGCCCTATTTGGATTTCAGGAGCACTGAAAAAATAATTTAATGAAAAATCTAAGCCAATATATCCAAATATTGGAGATTAATGATTTTGGAAAGTTTGTCATATATATATTATAAGTAATTTTCTGAAAATTAATTTATATTAATAAATATTGTTCACCATATTGTTTAGCCTTGGATGTGTTTGCTTAAACTTGTTAATTAAAAGACAGCATTGCATGGTTTTAGATTTTCAATCCACTTCTTCTCACAACACTCTCCCAAGTTCGTTCAGAGATCGTAGCCCTTAACCCAGAACTCTTTTATAAAGGAGCATACATAAAAATTCAACAAATGCTCCGTCTAGGCMATGGTTCACACGGAAAATGACGCGCCAACGAAAAGTCCTTTGACTCGAGACACTTAGGTGGGCAACGGAAGAAAAGACGCACACGCATTAAATGCAGAAACCAAGAGCAGATCGATTTGAGTGACCTCGCAAGGATGAAGGCAACTGGCGAACTTACCTATTCTCGACTCATGACCGACCCATGGTTGTAGTGGCAAAGAAGAAGAAGAATGTGGTAGCATCCGCATTATGCYTCGACCACTTGACTTAAAATCTGTTTGCATTTAGAGTTTTATGCACATTTAGAGTATTGGCTTGAAATATCTTTGAAACTGACTTCCGATTTTCATTTTATCTAAAAATAAATGTATCACAATTATAAACAAAATAGACGAGGGAATGTAGACGGTTGACGATTAAATTAGTTCATTTGACTCTCATAATAAAAAACGTAGTTTAAGTTAAACAAAAATTAAGCACAAAAAATTAAAACTGAAACAAAAGAAAAAAACTCAAAAAAAAAAAAAAAATGTATAATGCAGATGCTTTCAGGACACTTGGTACTCCTTACGTCGGCTCGTGCTATCCAGAGTTATATAGAACAAATAGAAAAATATCATAATGTAAAATATTGAACTCCACTGATTTGAGTTTGTCTGCAATTAGT